AGGGAAGCAAATACTATGCAAAGCAAATGGAAATTATACCTTGTTGTGTTCAGACTCTACTAAGAGTTATTCACCAGTTCAGGGAATCATGTCAGCAACAGCAATTCTGTAATGGTGTTTGAATCTCCAACTGGTATCTGTAACTGCTGTTTCTGGGTCAGTGCCTCTCAAACTGTAAGGTGCACGTGAGTTGACTGGAGTGCTTCTTTCCTTTTATTTTTTTCTTTAAGAATGAAAGAGATTGCTTGGAAAATAATGGGAAGGATACGGTAGAGGAGAGGGTGGTCATCCATAAAGGGGCAAATTAAGGAGTGATGTTCTCCAAAGGATAGGAAAGAAGTTGAGGGATGTTTTATCTCTTCTGTCCCACCCCTCTCCCACAGCCAAACCACCCACCTTCCCATCTTCAGCTTCTTTTTTTTTTTAAGATTTATTTATTTATGCATACAAGAGCTGGGGTGTAGGCCAGAGGTGCAGAGGGGTGAGAGAATTCACAGGGACAGAATAGGGAGCAGAACAGGTGGATTGACTGAAATACACTGCTGAGGGGAGCAGTGGACATGACAGGAGAGGTCTGCTGTGCCATGTGGTTAGCTTCCTGGCCAGGGATCAAACTCTGTGTTGCAGTGGCTGCTGATAGCTTCACAGAGCTGAGACTTAACCCCTTGCACTACCAGGGAGGCCCCTTCAACTTCTGTCTATAGGGCTGGTTTATGGCTGGGGGTGGAGTTGGAATGGGGAAGTGAAGAATAGGGAGCCCAAACTGACCTAGCTTCCAGGGTAAGTGCTTTGGGAAAACAATAGATATAAGCTATCATTACTTCTACTACTGTGTTATTATTGTTCCTTTTGCTCAGTATTATTTCTGCAGCAATAGAAATGTTTTATATCAGTGGCCAATAGCCACATGTAACTATGGAACACTTAAAATGTGCCTAATGCGACTAACAAACTGAATTTTGAATTTTCTTTAATTTCAACTAAAATAACCACCACAATAGACACAATAGTGTCTATTGTGCTGGGTTGCACCGCACAATCTATGCTTTCTGTGTCTATTTCAGTGGGGTTCTTCAAAGATGAGCCCTCTATGGAGGACTGTGTCTTCTGGGTGCACTGGACTGGGAATCAAACTGGAGTCCAATCTCAGCTGTGCCTTTTCCTGGCTGGGTGACTAGGGGTGATTCCTTTGGTTTCCTTTCTTCAGTGGGGAGATGACAGGGCCAAGTGAGCTAAGGGTGTGAAGGCACCGGAACTGTAAAGGGCAGCACATGCTCATGCAGGGGAGCCAGGCAGCTCCCTGGACTAGGCACCCCTTATAATGGCACAACTCTGTGCCTCCTCTAAGAGTTTGAGGGCCCTACCCTCACCCCCAGTGGCTGCTCCCTTCTCTGGGCGCCATTCAGTATTATTATTTGATTACTATACATCTCTCTCCCACTGGGTCCATGAGGGTAGGGCTGTGTAGCTGGTCCTTGAGTTTGTATCCCTAGGGACTAGCAAATGCTTGTGCAATGAAAGGATGAAACAAGAGGGCTAATATTTGAACCGAGTGCGATTTCAAAGCTCAGTGGGCTCTGGAACTTAACAAAATTTATCAATTTCCCCATTTATAATGATGGAAATATAACAAAAGACCCCAATATACAATGTAGAGATATAGTTTAGTTAAATAACTTAAGATACAAAATCATGAAAGCATATTCAGTGATACAAAGAGGTGTGTAATTATATTGTTAAGTAGAAATAACAAAAATTCCAAAGTATACTAAAATCTTACCTTGTAAATGCTATGACTCTATATGCAGAGTAAGAGGTTGGAGCAATAGCAAATATTAACAGTGATTATTATCACTGGGTAAGAACAGGAGGTGCTAGTTTTATGCTTTTTTCCTAAAACATTGATTTGATTTAAAAATGTATCTAATATACCTGAAAAAAGCAAACAAACAGAGGCAGAGAGTAGATTAGTAGTTGCCTGTGGCTGGGGGTAGAAATGGGGATTAACAGTAAATGGGCATGAGGGATTTTATGGGGAGTCCATAAAATGCTCTAAATGTGCTAAAACTGATTTGTATTGATCTTGTACCACTTGATAAGGTTATTAAAAAGTCCTTGACTTATATTCTTGAAATGCATGAATTTTGTGATATGTAAATATAAGTCAATAACATTAAAGCTGTATTATATGCATATATATGTGTGTATATATATATATTTTAAAGATTTATTTTATTTATACAAGAACCGGGGCACAGGCCAGATGTGTGGGAGGGCGAGAGGACTCACCAAAGTCAGAGCAGGGAACAGAAAAGGCAGACTGATGAAATATACTGCTGAGGGGAGCGGCAGGCAAGACAGGAGAGGCCCACCGCGCCATGTGGGTGTCTCCGCGGCTGACAGAAATTGAACTGGGCACTGCAGAGGCCGTGGACAGCTTCACAGCGCTGTGCTCAACCACCTGTGCCACTAGGGAGGCCCTGTATATATATTCTTAAAAGTAAAATGATTCAGAAGTTTTTAAAGACCCCATTCCCACACTCAATTTTGCTTTCTGGGCATAACAATAACAACTGTTTAATTCTTTCTGACTTTTTTTCTATACAGAAGCCAAGTATTACATGTACATTATACATACATGATTTCCTGCAATTTTCTTCTCCATCTAGACAGATATTTGTAGGACATAAAAAATTTAACAGTGCCTACTCCTGGGGGTGGGATTAGGGATGAAAAAAGTAGAGAAAGGGCCAGGAAGGGAGAGGTACACTGGAAACTTACTTTCTTCACTTTTGTATGTATGTTTCATTTGCATGTTTTTGTCAGGAATGTTTGGTGTTATAAACACAGTAAAGACACAGGGATAAGAGATACATTTGACTGTGAAATGCCATGTAACTGTTCTATTTTTTTTTTTTTTAGAAAAAATTGAGCATTTATCAAGTGCCAGCCCCACACCGAGTGCCTGAGTTATATTGTCTCAGCGAATCCTTATAGCAGCCCTATGAGACATGCAATATTATTAGTCTCCCTTGACAGAGGAGTAAACCAAAATCTAGAGAGACTGATTTTCAAGGTCACACAGCTCTGTGCACAGAATCCAGATTTGTGTACTGCGGCGGCATCTCTTCTTCGGCAGACACACCACTCTTCCTGCAAAACTCAGCTTGAATAAATTTAATCTTACGTGCATTTGTAGTTTCCTCTTAACCCCTGAGGTGGGCCCTGTCCTTGGGCACTTATAGAACAGAGAGGAGATGGGACAACTAAACACTCTGGTATAGCTTGTGTACTAGATTGTGTATTAGTAGAGTATATGCAGGCTTGAAAGGAGCTATGTGGCAAGGACAGGGAGTTTAGAAAATGTGTCTGAGCCAGCCTGGAAGCTCCAGAGAGTATGTTTGGAGCTGACTGATAACACCAAGGAGTTTTTCCCAGGAAGATAAAGGAAGGTGTGGGTGGTCAGAAGTGGGGAGTGGGTGCAGAAAGGAATGTGGGGCCTGGCACCTGCCTCAGGAGGCTCATTAGTGACATGCTCTAGAAACTACAGTTCTGAAGTTCTGCATGGCAGGAGGGTCAAGTTACCTGAAGGAGGGGCAAAGGAAAGGCTGTGTACTTCTAAATTTAAGGCCAGATCTCCAGAGCTTCTTAAGTTAGAGTGTTTATCTTGTGAAGGAAGCAGAGCTGTTAAACTATTTGAACATAGCATGTTAGAAATATGGGAAGGGGCCCGAGTGGGCTGTTGAGGGAGATCCCTCCTGGACCTTCAGCTAGCCAAGCCCTGCCCTGGGTGGGGAGGCTGAGGTTTCAGCCCCTGGTTGAGTTTAGGGAGAGGACCTTGTTTCCTTTATTTGTGCCTCCCAGCACCTAGCACAGCACCGGGCATGCAGCAAGTACTCATTCAGTAGGGGCCCAACTGGCAGGCAGAATGCTGGGGACTAAGACCGTGCCAGCCTGTGCTTCCGGAAAATAAATAGTAAGCCTTTGTTTCTTCCCCGGCACCACCCGGGGAAGGTGTTCAGCTCAAGTCTGACCCAATTATAAGGAGGTCAGAGAGGTTCTGACTCGAGAGTCAATCTCCACGTCCCTGGGAGGAGACGTGCCACTAAGCTGCGACTTCTGGCTCAGTGCCTGCTGTGTGCTAAGACCTTTCACACCTAATGTCGTTTTCCATCTCCCCAGCAGTTCCTAAAGCTTAATTATTGTCCCAGTTTCACCCAATCAGGGAACTGAAGAACAGAATGGTTCTGTAATTTGGTCAAGGTCACACAGCTGGCGAGGGTGGGGGTGGGGTAGGAGGCCGGGAATCGAACCTTTTAACCAGTCGAAGCCCGCGGGCCTCGGGGCTCCTCCCCCGGGGGAGCACCGCGGCGCCTACGCCGTTTACGTCCCGCACCGGGGGCTGCAGGGCCAGGGCGCGGGGCCGCGGAGGTCGGCTCGCCGCGGCGGCCGGGAGCCACTCCCACATTCGGAAGTTACGAAGTTTCCGTGCATCTCGCGTGCCTCCCGGGGCGGCTCGTGCCCGCTCCGCCGCTCTTACGCCGCTAGCGCAGCGGGGCTCAGGTGCGGCAGCGGGCGGGGGCCCGGCGCCCGGCGCGAGGCGGGGACGCAGTTTACGTAAGCGTCGGCTCGCAGGTGCGGGCGGCCGGCCGCCGCGAGGGCCCCCTGCGCGCTCCCAGGTGCGCAGTTGGCGCAGTTGGCGCAGGCGGCGGCGGGCGCTGGCGGGCGCTCTCAGGTGCGGCGGAGCGCGCGTGGAGGGGGCGCGCGGCGCGCGGGGCGGGCTTTCCGTTCCCCAGCAGCCGCGGGGCCCGCCCCCCGGCTCGGCCAATCGGCGCGCTCGGCGGCGTCACGTGCTCGCCGCCGCCGCCGCCGCCGAAGCGGAGACCGGAGCCGCGAGCGCCACCAGGGCAGCAGCCGCCGCAGCCGCCGCCGCTGGGCTGAGGAGCTGGACGCGGGCGGACGAGGTGGCGGCGGCGGCGGAGCGGGAGCGGGCACCGGGCGCCGGCGGGGCGCGGCGGCGAGGGTAGGCTGCGGCGGGCAGCGCCTGCGCGGCGGGCGTCCCGGGCGGGCGGCGGTTGAGGCGGCGGTTGAGGCGGTTGGCGGGGCGGCCGGGCCGCATTGTCTGTGGTGCGTCCTTAGCAGCGGCCGCGGCGCCGGGCGCAGCGCGGGGCGCCGTCCCGGCCCCTGGCTCCGGCGTCGTAGCCGCCGCCGCGGGGCCCCGGCCGCTTCGGGCCAGGGCGGCGGGCGCCGTGCTCCCCCCGGGTGGGGGCGCGGGCGGCCGGGGGGCCCGGCCCCGCGGCACCTGGCGAGGGTGGAGGGCGAGGGGCGCCGCGCGAGGACGCGGGGGGCAGGGGCGGGGGCCGGGGGCGCCGGCGGAGGGGTGCGCAGGTTGAAGGAGAAGGAAGGGTGGGGGATCCGGCCCTGCGCGGGGCGGGGGTGGGGCGGGGGGGAAGGGTGGGGGACTTTGGGGCAGGTGGGGGGCGGCCCGAGAGGGGGTCCGGCCGGGCGTGCGGGGGGCTTTGGGGAGGACGGAGATGGGGGACCCCGGGGAGGAAGGCGAGAGACGGAGGTCCCGGCCGCGCCGCGTCTGAGGGGCGGAATGGGGGGGGGCCCAGGACAATTGTGGAGGGGAGCGTGGCGCCGGGCGTGGAAGCGGACAGCGCGAGGGGGGCCGGGGTCTCCGGCGACGCGCGGGCCCGAGGCTCTGCGGGCCGAGGTGTCGCCTCCTAGGCCCGGAGGCTCCGGGGACCTGAGGGCGTGAGCGCGCGGCCGGCCAGGTGCTGGGAGGCGCGGGCCGGCCTCCCCCTGGGCCGGTGTTCAGGGAGGCAGGAGAGGGAGGGTGGCTGGAGCAGTGCCCGAGTTTGAGGGGCGCGAGACTGAAGTGGGGTCAGTGGGGTGGAGTGGCGGGCCCGGAGGGGAGCTGTCTGGGCAGGAGGTGTGAGGGGTGTTTAGCAGGTGGCCAAAGTGATGCAGCCGGGGTGTTCTTAAAGTGTGGACCCAGGTGGGGACCGGCAAAAGGGGGGCTTTGGGGTTGGGAGGGCCTCGGAGGGTCAGGTGGAATGGAGTGGGTGTGGAGTGCGAAAGGTGTGTTTGTGGGGCGCGGGGGTGGGGGCGGGGGGGGGTCGGTGGAGGATGAGAGAATTGGCCTTGAAGGGACAGGTGAGACCAGACAGATAGAAGGAAATGCTTCTGGGACAGAGGTGTGGAGGGAAGTTGGGGATAAGAAGGGGTTTGGGGGTGTGTGTGAGACTGGAAATCACTAGAGGGAGGCCACAGGGAATAGGCTGGAAGGGAAGGTGTACAGGTCTGGGCTAAGATGTGTGGTGGGAGGAGGCACAGTTTGGGGTTACTAGGTATTACCTGGTAGAGAGGAGGAGTAGGCCGGGAAGGAAGGGAGGCAGGCAGGATATTTGGGGGGTAGAGGATGTAGAAGAATGCATGCCTGGTGCTACAATGGGGTAAGGGAAGGACAGAGTAAGGATGTGTGTGGGAATGTCTGTGACTAGAAAGGGGTGCTCAGATTTATGTCTGGAATGACTGGGTTGGAAAGAGGAAAACAGGTTGCTTGAAAGAGCATGGAAGGAGCAGGGTGCTGAAGTGTAGCAAGAGACTGAACAACTTTGAATCCTGGAAGATTAAAAGGGCCAAAATTTTCACATTCAGTGAAAAGCATGAGGTGCAGAAGTTGGAAAAAGAAAAAACTAAAATGGTGGATTAAATGACAGAGAGAGGGGAAGGGGTGGAAAATCCCGGAATGATGTTAATGGAATAGGGAGCGTGGTAAGCCCTGGGCCACATCTGAAAGTGCTTGCTCCCAGTATGGTGAAGCCTGGCTTCAGTTCTAGAACCCAGTGAATGGGACGAGACAAGGGAGAGTTGAGTACACACTTGTGAGTTTGGAGGAAGTGTGTGGCGGGGTCTCGTCCTAGCATGCTGGCCTGCCAAGTGGGCAGAGAGAAGAGCCATATAGGGTCACGAGGTGTGCACTAAGAGCGAATAGAAATAGGATTGCAGCAGGTGCAGGGCAGATGTCTTTGATGATACTGCAAGGATGCAGGACCCAGCGTCAGTAGCAGTCAAGGACTGTGTATCAGAGAGGGAGAAGGGATACCTTGGTGCAGTGTCTCAGATATCCTGGTGCTTTCTGGGTAATGGGGCAGTTTTCAGGCATTGGGTGATGTAATAGTTGAGTCTTGTCCTGTAGGCAGACAGAGGTAATGTACACCTAGCTCCTGTAAGTGACAGGAATGGAGCTAGTGGAGTCTTTTTTACCCTATCAAGATGCGAGTAACTGAACCTGGGTTGTTGACTTTTTCTCCTGAGTGGTTCAAGTAAAATTTAGGTGGAGGCTTTTGGGTTTTCTGGTATTTTGCCTTGAGTTGGGGAGTAGAATTTTACCTTTATTGAGGAAAGACTTCTGAGGCTGGGTGGACATGCAGCCCTTAACTTGCCAGATACTTAGGACATAACCTTTAGGGGTTTGAGCCACAGACATTTCAGTGCAGGTCTTGGTGGTGTGGCTTGTGTTAGATTCTTTGGGATTTGGAAGGATTAAGGAAACTGTTTTGAGGCTGCCTCAGTAAGCAGGGGTTTTTAGAATCTTGGAAATGACCACTTCTGACAGCTGAAAATTCGGTCTTGTGAGATTTTGCCAAAAAACTTAATGTTACAGAAATAATTTCAGTTACTGCTTTTAGGCTTCATGTAGTATGTAATGTATTACCTAGTATGATTTCAAATAAAAGGTTTATTTTCGCATCTTGGGATGCTTTCTGGGTTGATAAATTCTTTCGTTCATTTAGGAAGTGTTTTAATGCAGCCATTGTAAGTTCACATCATAAGTTTTAGTTTGGGAATCTTGCCTAAGCATAATGAGGGCTGAGCAGAAAATCATATTTTAAGTAATTTGGATCTGTGAATATAAATATTTAAATAATAAACTGGAAGTTATTTTAAAATCCAAATTCGAAGGGTATCATAAAGGTAGCAAAGTTAATGCTCTGGAGCTGTAAGTTTTGGTGTGAAAGGTTTTTAAAGTATAGTATGCTTTTGTAGCTCTTAGCAGTATTTTGCGTTTGGATATATGTATAGATTGTTATAAAGGGTTATATTCTTTATAACTGGCTCCCTCACAGAGTGCTTGAGCAGTGAGACCTAAGTGGAATAGAGTAACCTTTGAAAATTCTCTCCAATATGACCATTGTTTCCTTGTATTTTTTAAGTCTATTGTGTTAGTTCATCTTGTTGGTTTGGGGCAAACAGTACTATGTTGCTCAGAATATTCAATTCTGGCATAGTGTTTTGATTACATGTGTTTATTGTTCCCTGAAGTTCTATGGTTGGTATAGTTTGTTGGCCCTTGAAAATATTATCCTAAATTTATGAACCAAGGAAAGCAGGTTATTTATTTAGACTTTGTCAGCTAAATAATTGGGTCTGGTTTTATTTTCACTGGTAACTTGCTGGACAAGATACTTAATCCCCTTTGTGTTTGTTTCTCCTCTAGAAATCTGACTCTTTATCTACCTCCCATGAGAATTGAGTTCGTTTATATAAAACAAGTTTAAGTCTTTCAGGAAGATTAGAACTGTGTAAGTAGGGGCAATGGGTGTTCTTTCTTTGGTTTCTTTTTTTCTTTTAGGTTGGTCAGACAAATAATAGTATTTCAGAATTTGGCACTAGGTGGGTTAATTTGGGGGGAGATACTGGGATAGAGATGAAATTTCTTTGAATGTTACTGATCTACAAATGGAAGTTTGTTCATTCTTTGCTCCACTGTCTGCCTTGCTGCTTTTTCCCCTGCAGCTGCGTGTTGGTGCTCATTGAAGTTCTTAAGTCAGAGCAGAAGCTTGTGAGAGACATCTGAGTTCTAGCTGTAGCCCCAGATTATTTCTGAGCATGAATTTTCAGAAACCGCACACTTCTTTTACCCAGTAAATCTGATTCATAAATCAGGAATGATAAACAATACATATTCCTATATATATGGCAGAAAATTTATGGTTTGTGACTTGAACAGAAAAAATAGTTGTTGCTTCTTCTAATGTTCTCTTTTCTGACTTATTGACTACTTTTCCCCTTTCAGATTTTAGTTATCAGATAATTACCCATCACTTGCTATTTCCAAGCCCAATGCTTGGAAATGCTACTATGTTATGTTCTTGGTGGTGGTGGGGGGGGATGGTTTTTAAATGTTTTCTAAATGTTTAAATGTTATGTTTGGTTAATTGGAAAAAAGCCTCCAGATGCTGGTCATGATTGACATTGAAAAATGTAAATAGTAAGTTGCTTTATTAGACATTAATTTGCTTGAACTTGGTGATACAAAATCCTGATAAGTCTTCTGAGCTAGCTGTTCTACTCTCAGTAGTTTATTCTCTTTTATAACATGTTTGAACACCATTACCCATCTTATTGCTCTTCTTTTTTCATTTGTTTTACATAGATCCTTTTATTGCAAAATTGGTTGGTTTTCAGAATTTGCTCAGCTGTAGAAAAACTGTTTCTGACAAGTAATTATGTACAGGAGGCTTCATAATCCAGTCTAATTTTAGAAAACTGTTTGTTGAGAAATGGAAGTTAAATTTATGTCAGTTGAAACAGAAAGGAATAAAGTAATGAGGCCAGATTAATGGTTATATAGATATTTGAACCCGAAAGACCTGCAAATCTTTAAGTTTTAGGTCTTGTGTTGAATAGTGATTTGTCACTGTTTTGAGTTATTTCTTGTCCCATGACTACTTTAAGTCCATCCTTTTTGCAGTATGGTGCCTTCTTCACAAAAGCTGTTGCCATATATGTGTAGTGTTAAAGCAGTCCTAAATTTTAATTGATATTCAGATTCTCTTAACTGCCGACATAAATAACACTATGTAGAACACCTGCTTTCTTTCGTTAACTTTAGTGACACTCAAAAAGGTATGGTTGATTATATCAATAATAAAATTACAGCCTTGCATTGTGTGACTTCATGCTTTATTTCCATGTGAAAATTGAGACTTCTACAGCAGGTTGTGTAATAAATTATGAGGCATTTCTGGGTCATGGATAAGATGTAGTTTCTTGCTGCACCTGCAGCATTTCCTGTTCTTTGCAGTTTTCCAGGTGTCAGGGCTTTTCACAGTATCCTATTGGACAGATCAGCATTTTGTTTATGAATTGAGTTTAAGCATTTTAATACTGTCGACATAAAGCAAATAGTAATTGTTCTTCAAGACTCTTATCTGGATTTTTTTCTAACTGTGCTTACCTGTTTTGCCAGTTTAATTCAGCAAACAGGCATTGACATTTAGGCTCAAAATTATGTTTTGTGCCAGACTTAAAAATTTCTTAGGAGGGCTCAGTAGTATTGTTTGAGTAAAGAATAGACCCTTCCCTAGATAAATTGGCCTTTAATGTAAAAATGGGGTCTGTAACTTAGAATACCTATGCTTTGTCAGCCAACTGATTTGTTTCTAAAATTTAAGATAGATGAAGTTCATTCTTATGATGTTTATAATTCTAGGTAAATCTGAAGCTCCTCAAACATTGCATCTAACTATAGACTTGTACAGTTTAGGTGTTGTATATTTTAATCTAATGAGGTATTGGATACTGGGTAGTTCATAAGTAACTCTGGAAAACTGTTTTACTTAACAAAACTAGTGAACTAGAGGGGAAAGGTATTGCAATTTTGATAATGTAGGTTAGTAGCTGGAGAGTAAACACCCACAGCCCTTGGTATGCCTATTTTTGGTTGTTTTTGAAAGAAGCTCTAAATAAGCTTATAATGTCAAGGTCAGCCTGAAGAACACATAGTAAACATACCAGTAATGAAAATTTTAAGAAGATTTTTTTTTTTTTTAAGATTTATTTATTTATGCATACAAGAGCTGGGGTAAAGGCCAGAGGTGTGGGAGGTGAGAGGATTCACCAGAGACAGAGTGGGGAACAGAACAGGCAGATTGACTGAAAACACGGCTGAGGGGAGCAGCGGGCGAGACAAGAGAGGTCTGCTGCGCCATGTGGGTAGCTCCCTGGCCAGCCAGGGACTGAGCTCATGCTGCAGAGGCTGCGGACAGCTTCACAGTGCTGTGCTTAAGCCCTTGTGCCACCAGGGAGGCCTGAAGACGATATCTTAAAAATACAATATTGGGCCTCCCCAGTGGTGCAGCAGTTGAGCACTGGGTTGCGAAGCTGCCCGCAGCCTCTGCAGCGCCGGTTCGATCCCCGGCCTCCAGCGAGGGTCCCACATGGCGCGCAGACCTCTCCTGCCGCACCCACTGCTCCCCTCAGCAGTGTACTTCGGTCCTTCTGCCTTTTCTGCTCCCCACTCTGGCTCTGGTGAATTCTCACCCTCCCGCACTTCTGACTGTACCCAGTGCTTGTATAAATAAATAAATCTTAAAAAAAAAAACAAAAAAAAAAACTATTTACTGATGTTTTCTGATATGCCAGATTTGTAAATACTTTGAAATTACACAAAATTGGCTTTTGAACTTGCTAAGTATTTTTGTTTAGTAGTGCCCTGTGTTTTTAGAGCTCAGTGTTCACATATCTGGACTTTGGTCCTTATGATAGCTATGTAATAATGTGAGTTAACAGCAAAATAATACATTTGGAGAAATAGCGGCACAAAGAGTTGACTCTTAAGCACAGAGAGAAAACTTTCAGAATTTGTATATAAAATTCCTATTGGTCCTTGAATTTGGCAAGGAAGGTTGAATGCTGTGCAAATTTGAAATCTGTCTCTTGGTCAATCCCTTAACTACAAGACTTTTCAAGGATTCCTTGGGCTAATGCTTATATTTCCTAGGAAACCGAGGGTCCTTGGATTATGGAGTGGTAAAATGACCACCACTCTGGTGAACTCTCCTCGTAGGTATGCCCTGTGTGCAGTTACTGTATTGGGCTGTAGAAGATTTTTGTACTTTAGAAGACTGGGCTTGGAGGTATGATTGTTGTCTTTACTAACTGTAGAGCTCTCTTACATATAAAATTGGAGTCAAACCCCTGATTTATAGAGCTATTGTGAGGACTAAAATAGATTAGGAAGTACTTTGTAAACTTTTGAAGTATGTAACTCCTTTTGAGGACAGAAAAGGCAGATTTATTGAAATACACTGCTAAGAGAAGCAGCAGGCGAGATAGGAGAGGGCTGCTGTTCTGCATAACTTTTTTTTAAAAGGGTGGATTAAACAGAAATTAAGGGCAGGCTTTGAAGCAATGAAAACTTAGACTAGGAAGGATCTGGATTTTTATTTTTTAATCAAGGTATTTTCAAGCATATATCCCAGAAAACAGTACAGTGAACTTCATATATCCATCAACTAATTTCAGCAGTTGCCAGCATTTTACTGTTCTTGTTTCTGATTTGTTCCTCACAGTTGCTTTTTTTTAAGGGTTAATTTTTTATTTATGCGTACAAGAACTGGGGGGTAGGCCAGAGATGCGAGGGGTGTGTGTGAGAGGATTCACCAGAGACAGAGTGGTGAGCAGAACAGGCAGATCTACTGAAATACGTTGCTGAGAGGAGCAGCAGGCGAGACAGGAGAAGTCTGCACCATGTGGGTTTGTTCCCTGGCTGGGGGCGTCGAACTCATGCTGCAGTGGCTGGCAATAGCTTGATAGCACTGAGACTTGAATTGAACCCTTGTGCCACCAGCGTGGCCCCACAATTACTTTTTGTAGTCGTATTTGTTGGGGTATTTACAGTAAATTTTATTTTTTTATTTTTAATTTTTTTAAATGAATTTTTTTTAAAGATTTATTTATTTATACAAGCACTGGTTACAGTCAGAAGCACGGGAGGGTAAGAGAATTCACCAGAGCCAGAGGGGAGAGCAGAGCAGGCAGAAGGACCGAAGTACACTGCTGAGGGGAGCAGCGGGTGGCAGGAGAGGTCTGCGCACCATGTGGGATCCTCGCCGGTGGCTGGGGATCGAACCGGCGCTGCAGAGGCTGCAGGCAGCTTCGCAGCCCAGCGCTCAACCACTGCGCCACCAGGGGAGGCCCTTTACAGCAAATTTTAGACACCTATAAATACTTCAGTGTGCATTTCTAACATATAAGAGCTTAAAAAATCATGAAAACTACTTTAACTCCTTAAATTAACAATAATTCATTATCTAATATTCAGAAGGAGCTGGGTTTGAAATGTACCTCTACCACTTAACAGTTTTATACACTTATCAAATTGCAGGTTTCCCTGAGCTTCTGGTTCCGTATCTGTAACATAAAGATAATGCCTCATTAAGTTATTTTGAGCTTAAATGAAATAACATCTAAAATGTCTACCAAGAAGGTTCTGTCTAAATGGCCCAACTTCTTTTCTCAGCTTCTTATGGTATGTGAATTAGAATTATGGATTGTCCTTCTTCCTTCTTGAGTAGCACAAAGAGTAACTGTGCTCTAAAATTAATGAAATTAATTTCATTAGTGAAATTTCTCTTGATTGGACTATTTGACTCTCCCAGTGAAATTTGGTAAATAGAAATCATATACTTCTCTCCGTCTCCTCCCCCAACCCCAACTCCCTACTTCCTCTCCCCTATTTTCCTGTAAGAACATTATTTACCTGTCTACTGGTTCATTCCAGTCAACATGTACATGC